GTAGTGTAAATTTTATTAATTATTAGATAACTCAATAAAATGTAAATTTTATCAACCAACTATTGAATTATAACTTTACATCTTATATATTTATATCAAATTTTGTTAAAATTAAATAATAATTTAAAAATAATTAAAATATTTATATTTTAATATATTTTAAAAATATATAATACACCAATTTTATTTTATAAAAATAGATGTGAAACTTGAATTAATATAAATTATAAATGAATTGCTGATGCGGGGAGACATTTTTTTAATCAAGAAACATCTCGACGTTTTTAAGGATGAGTGATACCTGTGTATTTCCTATGTCAGAGAGGGGTTTTCTGGGCCCTTGGTCACTGTTTGTCCGGGCAAGCGTATCAATCAGTGCTCCCTGAAGTAACTCTGCACCTTGAGTAACAAGATGGCGATCATTGTCTGTTTCTTCGCTACATGGATTATTTCCGCACCTTTGAACCAATCTCGATTGAGTTGGCTCGTGTGATTCATTTGATGATGCTCTGTTGGCACACTTGGTTGCTAAGCAACCGCAAGAACTCCCACAACTACAGCCCAAAGCTTTGCACTTGCATTTTGTTGTCTTGCATGATGAGGTTCTACTACAAGGGCAGCAAATATCCGATGCAGTTTCCCCATATGCATCTACAACTACATCACTTGAATTTTCTTTAAAATCTTCTGAAATGTTGATATTGGATTGATTATTTTCCATGTCTGAGCGTCTTGTTTTAGATTTCTTTTTCCCAACCCTTAATTTTCCTGATTCTTCCCACTCATCATCTGTTAAATCATAATCATCTGACTCTGTCTCAGATGTATCCATGTCCTCCAATAGAAGGGTAGACCGGCGGTATTCCTGAAGTTAAATTAAGTTTGCAGCGAATTAAATAATAAGCTATTTCCCACTAAATGCAGTGGCTAAAAATGCTATTAGTATGAGATAGAAAATCTATTGCAGGGGTTGTTGTAATAATAAGCTATTTCCCACTAAATGCGAGACTTACCGGCTTGCGCAAGTCATACTTGTGAGCTCCAACATTCACGTCAGAATATTCTGAATCTTCCACATCTGAGAATCTTTTCAAAGCTTCACTCTGTCATTCAGTTTAAATGATACCGGGAAAATATGTTAATAATAAAATATTATCAAACAGTTAAATTAGATCGAAAAGAAGGAAGATTAACTAGTTATTTACTTAAAGCTTTAAAGTGAATAGCCACCACTATTTTAGTATGTGATGTAAATGATATCTTTTAGTATGACTAAAAGTTATAATATTGTTTAGGGGTAATTAACACTTATAATAAATAAATACTTTTAAGTATATAAATTATATTATAATTAAAATTTATAAAAAATAAGTATTTTTATTAAATATTAGATTTTTCATAAATAATTTGATTATTAATAATTTTATTTTAAATTATTAAAATTTAATTTATAAAAAAGTGATAGATTAAAAAGATAGGAATTTAAGACAAATTCAATTAATTAAACTCTCATGTTATATATACATAGGACTGAGATTTTGAAGTAATTAATTAAATTGGAACAATTTTATACCAATATTATATATACACAGGATTCAATTTCAAAGTAATTAGTTAAGTTAGAACAATTTTATAGCTCATGTTCATCAATATTGAATGATTTTAAAATCACTTTCGTTCAAAAATAATTATTTTAATTTATATATAAAGAAGATAAATACATTTAAATACATATATTATAATTAAAATTTATAATAAATAAATATTTTTATTATATATTAGATATATTAGATTTATCATAAATAATACAAAGTTATTTTTAATTATTATTTTTAAAATATAATTTTTTATAAATAAAAATAAAATGATGGATTAAAAGAGATAAAAGATTAATAAAAACACTTATATTTAATAAAAATAACTAAAAATACTCTTTTAAATAATAATTTCTAAAAATATCATCATTCAATAAAGTTATTATAATTTATATGTAAAGAGAATAAATAATAGATAGATAAACACAAACCTGCAACTTCAACTTATTAGTAAGTTCAGTTTTTATCATTTCTGACTGTCGGAGTAAGTAGCTTAACCCCACTACTTTTTGTTTAAGGTCTCTCATTTCCGTGTCCTTCTCTCTACAAATCACTTCTTTATCACGTAATAAACACCTGTGACAAAAAAACACACGAAGAAAATGCTATCAGTTTACCCCAGGGAATATTTAGATTAGTTGTGATTTAACACCTAGTTTAACTTCTTAAGGTATATAGCATTGACATGATATACAGATAAAGTAATACCTGGACGAAGATGCAATATTAAACAAATAATTCATCAAATTCTTGGCATCAGCAAGGGTCCGGACTTGGTTCCAGCGCCCTTTACCACTGAAAACCCGCTCCTGTTCTTCTGCCTCTGATAACTGGGATAACATAGACACTAGAGTTGCAGAAGAAGTCGAAAGCATGTTTTCAAGGGCAAAAATCCTAGAATTTCTTGCACCAGGAGACATTGATGTGGAACAATCACTACATTACATCAAGTTAGAGTTTGTCAAACATAGACAGATTGCCAGAAAAGTAAAAAACGATAGTACAATTCTTGAAAGAAAAATATTTAACTGCCAGGCATTTCACCTTGTACTATTTTGCTTCATCATTTGTGCTTCTTCCTTTAACCTCGTCATCTCCTCCGCCATTTTAGCTCTCCTGAAATGAAAAGCAACAAATAATTTTTTTTGATACATCAGAAACATAACAAAGAAAGGCAGAAACTAGAGTCTAATGAATAACACCCTCATCTTGTCCGCTAAGAGCAGCTGAGACAACTGAGGGAAAATCTAACCAACAATGGAAAGGGGAGGATTAGAAGCTCCAAATTAGTGAGAAAGCTCTAATAAAAATAAAACATAAAAACTGCATGTAACATGCCCAACAGAATTTTTAGCCTTTGCTATATAACATTGGGTTTTCGACTCAAACCAATGTTGTTATAGATTTCATTGCAAAAATATTAACCTCGATTGCTCTTTTACCCCTCTTTTGAATCTGACATTGAATGATTACAGACCCACAATAATCACAATTACAAATCGTTTTGAAAACTCCCTCAAAAACCAGTGTTGATAACATCCACCCACCGTTAGATACTCCTTAGACACAATCGGTCCAAATTTTCTCATTTGTTACGTTTGACTTGTATTTAAAGTTTAAAACCAAATTTGGCGCACAAGAAAATGAATACAATGATGAAGTAATGGCATTGTCCAGTGCCACGAATCGGCTAATCCATACTATCCTATTTAAAAGAGGTTAAAATAATACAAATTATCAGATTTTTACAGATATAAAATGAATGGCATTTCCGACATATTAACCATTCAACATATTGCTTCAAAATACCAAAATAAATAAATAAATAAATATTCACAAATTTAAACAAGCATGTTACCAACTGATTTTTAACAATCTTAAAGTGGAGAAGGGAACATACACTTCCTTTTGATGTTCACATTCTGAACGAACTTCGTGCACCCGGACATTGACTTCAATCTCATGTTCAATTGCTTTCATCAAAGCCTTTCAAAGAGGAAAAAAAAATGTGAAGTAGAAGAAACCAAAACATCCACTTATTACCATGCATCGAGTATGATGCGAAGTCTGATCAATACGAAAAGAAGAGGCATACAATCTTTAATATGTCCAGCATGTCTAGGACCCATTTAATTAATTTGATCTTTGTATGCAATTTTCAAACTCATCATAAAGTAACAAGTACCTGAGTTCCAGGGCCATTCCCACCTCCAACACCTGATTATAAAACAACACATTGCTGGTTATTGGTAAGCTGACAAAATAGGAAAAATAGCTACATGATACAGCAAATCTCCTAACCCATAGTTTCACGTGAGGAAGCCTTTCGTGATTCTAGAAGTTCTTTCAACCTTTTCGTGGCCAAGGAAGCTTCTTCTGTCTTCCTTTGCAATACCTACGACGAAAATACATGGTGAGATAAACAGCATCGAAATAAGACCACAACTGAAAGTGATATGAACATCAGCTCACCATCTTTTGTCTCTGATTCAATGCTAACAGCTTATGCATCTCATGTTCATTCTTTCTCCCCTCTTTCTTAAGCTGGAATTAATAAAAAATTCAAAATACGTATTAGAGGATTTGCTATCATTATTCGTAACTAATATATTTGCTGAAACCGTGTTGGTGAGAGATGTTGCTGTGCTTGCAATAAAGACTGAAAGGAGTTATTCCCTGATCCCCTCTTTATATGGATAAGAGATAAAAGTACAGACAAGACCAGTATCGAATAAATAAATAAAAAAAAGGGACTCCCAGAAGTTGAGAAAAATTTACCCTCTATATGGCTATAGAATGCTATAGAATGGAAAAAAAAGACTAAGAATGTTATTAAAGAAATTTGCCCATTTGAATTTACCTGGAGAACTTCTTTTTCACGTGAAGCTTTCCATATCCTAAACTGTTCAGATTCCTGCTTAATCTTATTTTGAAGATGAGCCTAAAGAAGAAAAAAAAATGGAAGAAAAAAAAAACTGAGAAGTGCCACATCTGATAATATAAGTTTTCTGCTAGTGACTGCAAATACAAAGTCTCACAGGATCATTGCACCTTTTGTGCTTTAATTTTCTGGATCTCATCCTGAAGTCGTTTTGCAGCCTCATCACTCTTCTGTTTTTGCTTCAGGAGTTGAGCCTGATCATCTTGTTTCTTCTTCAACTCTGCTACCTGTTAAGAAAATAATCAGTTCATTACATTCAGTGGGCATTGAGCGTTGATACATTTAAATAACAAATCACCTGTGCCTCAAGAGTATTCAATTTTTGAAGATAATCCTGCTTCAATTTTTGACACCCGTCATCAGAGGTGGATGAAATATTTGCAAGATTGCACTTCAGTTCCTCAATTTCTTTCTACCAGTTATATGTGGAAGGGTTATCACACTATTTTTAAAGTAAAGGAAACCTCTCAAGAAGTACACTAGATATCATATCATAGCACAAGACAACTGATTACCTGTAAAATTTTCTTTTCTTGTTCCATCTCAAGAAGTTTCTTTTCATAATGATGTCTGAGAACTGAAGGATCAGCATTACTGATCAGCTTCATTTCAGCCTTCAACCAAGGAAAAAAAAATCTAGATACATGTTAAAAAAAATCATATTCCTACACTAAACAAGTAATACAATAGATTTAATTTGCAATTTGAAAGCAGTTTTATGAAGCAATGCTTTCCTTCTAAAATTCATGTGAGCACCATTTCTTCACCTCATTTTTTCATTTTTAAAATCCCGAGGAGTGGTAGCTAACTTAAACAGGTTCAATGTTCAAAGGCATAGTCTCTTTGATTTTCCTTTTCTGTTATAATATATTTACTGGTTTCGAAAGTAAGTCTGTAGGCTGTAGCTCAGTTTTCTGTCTTGATATATTTTTTCATCTAAGAAGGTTGGCGGTAAGAGAATTAGAAAAGGCTTCAGTTTGAGTATGCAGTATATTTCCTTTAATTAAAAAGAAAAGGAAAATCAAAGAGATACCTATGAACCTGCTTAAGCTAGTTAAAACTCCTCAGGTTTTAAAAAAAGAATAAATGAGGTGAAGAAACAGTGCCCACACGAAAAGCTTTTATTTAGAAGGAAAGCATGGCTTTGAAAATGGGAAAAGGATTAATTGTTGGTGTAATTTTATAAATTTGCATAATTTGACAAAAGTATCAGCAAATCAAAAGTCAAAAAACTATAAAAACAAGGTCAACATCTAAATGACTTTACAACTAGATAAAGCAAATTTTACCTCCTTTTGTTCAAGTTTCTTATCCAATTCTTTGAGTTCTTCATCCAACTTTTCTTGAATAGATGAGTGTTCTAGTTCCTTTGCATCATCTTCCATCTCATCTGCAAAAATACAAATGCTTAAAAAAATCAATATTTACGATAAAATGCCTATGTACATAGAGAAAAAAAAAATTAAAAACAAAGTCAGAATTAAGAACTCCCAATGTTTTTGCAGTATCTTTCAGAATTCGTCAAGTAAATCTCAAAATTTTGATGGATGGACTTGTCTCAACTAAAAGTCTAAAACAAATTAGTGATCATTCATCAACAATACTTTTACTGTCATCTTACAAGATTAAGACTCAATAAAAGAACCACGATACAACAACAAAATAAATTCCCAATGCACTATCTGATATATCAATTGCTTTGGCATCACAAGTAGAAGATAATTCATTACCTCGTGCAAATAAAGCATGTTTTGATTCATATCCATCATCATCGGAATCAGCACAGTCAACAAAACGGCTTGAATTCGTGGCATTTGAAGTTTTCAAATTTAGCAACTCTCCTTCCAAATCTTGGATCTTTGACACGTAAGATTTCAGTAGGTCATAATCCTAAAAAAAAATGTTCAGAGCATGTTTCAGTGACGGATCTACTTCCAAATAATTGTAACCACCCATAGACATAACACATTCAAACCTGATTTGAATTTGAGTCAATCTCGTCCCATGATTTACCGTTACGAATTGATTCTATTTTCAAAATTAATTGATCCTTTTCAACCTAAAAACATTTTCAATACCGAGTGTGAGACCAGCACCAGAAGTCAAAAAGAACATTACAGAGATATTCTAAGGAAGAAAGGATCAAAAGAAGACCTGGGCCTCGAGAGCACGTTGTGCTAAACTCTCGGAGGTTACTTGGCGTCTTTTAAGCTCCTTTTGTAGCTCTGCATTACTTGCTTCAAGTAAGGATATTTTGTGTTTAAGCATCTGGAAAATATTTAAAAGAAAAATATCATCAAAGGACATAAAAAACATATAAACAAATGTGACACCTTCTAAAATTATGATGTACCTGAAGCTCCTCAATTGGTCCACTGGCATCACCTCTGTAAAATAGAAGCTCGGCATGCAATTGCTCAATCTGATTCCGCATTGTTTGCACCTGAGCTGCCACTGGGTCACGATTAATCTGAAACAATAAAATTCAAAATTATCAAGACAAACTACCCTGCTTGGAGTAGAAAAAGAACAAGGCATTAAAAAGATGAATACAAAGCACTTACAATTGCCTTGTTCTGAATGTTACGAGCTCGGTTTGCATACTTTAAAGTGTTCAATGTCTCTTCAGCATTTGTGTCAGCGGGACTAACACATGCTGTAAAATTCTCGACAGGTTAGATGATGCATGACTATAGAAACAAAAATATCAATAATGTCATCATGCATTGAGTTAGTACCTATCATCACAGTTTTGCTGTTTCCTCCAAGAGAATCCTACAATATTCATCATCCAATTCCATGTTGTGAAAAAGAAATTAAAAAATCCATGACATAGATATGTTAACTAATCACTTTAGACAAAGCTTTTTTATCACATTTTTTTAGTAATAGGCTTTTTCAAATAAGTTCCAAGATAGAAGTGGCAATACATTCTACTCACCTGACATTTTAGTTCAAGGGCTTTCATACATCAAACAAATGGCAAGGTGCAGTATCAAGAATCCATGAGCTTGTGGATAGGGATGGAAATAAACTAAATCTTAAATAGGAGGGTGACTTGTTTAAAGGCCAAACCATCCTATCTTGACTTGACAAAAGATAGGTTTAATATTTTAGAAAAGTCTATTCATTCATAAAGACTAGATTTAGATTTATAAAAAAATTTGTTAGACTTGATAGGTTAATCTATTTATTTGTATAATATAATAAAAATTAATAATATACATATTACATTATATTGACAATATAATAATTAAATAAATAAATTTATCATAAAAGTCAATATTATGTGGGTTTTGTTTACAATTAGGGTGAGGAATTACGTAAACTAGTAAGAGCTACATATTATATAAAGTGCACCTTACAGTTTTATATTTTTATAGTGTTTTTAAAAGTGCAGCTTATGTTAGTTTTATAATTTTAGTTATTGTTTTTAAATTCTTACTTTAGTTTTATTTTTTTTCAATTGAATTAGTTTTGAAAAATCTTACGTTAGTTTTCAAAATTCTTAGTTTATATTTTAAAAATTCTTATGTTAATTTTATATTTTTCTTTTAAAATGTATAATTTAATAGTAATAAAGTAAATTATCTTTATATCAAATAAATAAAAAATGACTCATAGGTTTATTTAAAATTATATTTACCGACTTATTTAAAATTAAGTTTATTAGCTAAGTCAACATTAATATAATTTTTTCTAAAATAGATTAATGGAAGGTCAAGCTTATAAAAAAAAATTATGATAAATACATAAGATTTAGCCTTAATTTTATAAAATAGTTCCGATCTATATATATTGAAAGTCTACGAAGTTTATTCTCATTATGCTTGTGAGTAAACATTTGTATATTCTTATAAAAGTTTTGTTTTCATGTCCTAATGTTTCTTACATTGTCTTGCATTCTAGAAAGTATCATTTATATAACTGATACAGTGGACAAGACAGATTTACCGAATATAAGAATGTACTACTTTTATTGTTTAAACAAGGATTGTACAAACCTGAAGTAGGCGCGTTAACTTGCTATCACGATATGGCACATGGCCTCCTTCTTTTCGCTTTTTTTCATCTCCCAACGCACTTATTACATTTCCAAGAGCTAATAAACCCTTGTTGATATGAATTCCTAATCCATGAAAAAAATAACTGAATATTAAATAACAGACAAGTTGCATTTATAAAAGAACTCAGCCAGCAGAATGGGCTTCAATTAACTCAATTTTCAACTACTTATATTTTAATAATTGTACAGAAATATTGTTTTCTATAAAAGATATCCAAACCCTATAATTTTGTTGTACACTTATAGTGTAATTTGTATCATTAACAATGAGAAATACCTTCTTTTAAACGCAAGCCATCCGCACCAGTTCGTTTCGCACGTTCAGATCCAGCTAGGTCCACTAAATGGAGTTTGGCACATAAGATGTCATCACCATTCTTTTGCTCCATTGTGATCGTGAAGATAGCATGTGAACGACTAGGCAAAACATATGAACCACACAGTTAATATACTATAAATTAATTTCTCATCGATGTACGTTTCATATGTATCATTCATTATTATTGTCAAAGCAAAAGAATTCTAGAAACATCTATATGGTATTTCACCTTGATTGACTATTCATGTTTGTACTCCCAGTGGCACGTGACAATGAACCACTTAAGAGATACGATGTCATTTCTTCTTTTGTCTTGACATCAGCCTCAGTCACTCCAGCAAGTGTTATTCCTCCATTCGCAGTTTCTCTGATTTGTATGGGAACTCTGGTAGGCACAGCAACCTTTGCCGTTGATGCCGCCTCTCCTTTAGATGAATTAGGATCAAGCAAATCAAAAACCTCTTCCTTAAATATCTGCAATTTTTAGCAGATCAAGTTACAAAGTTTGATCTCAATTGACAATTTCAGAGAAATTCATCAACCAACACACAGCATTGTTTACCTCAATAAATGATACTCTAATCAAGAATTCCGTGGAGTCATTTGTAGCCTTAACTTTGTTGAATATGGTTTCCAATACCATGGGTATAATTCCACCACTACTTCCCTCTCCATTATAATCAGTGCCCATGGTGTATGTTTTCCCAGAGCCCGTCTTACAAAATGAGAAAGGAATAAAAAACTCAATGTCTAACAACGCACAAGTTTCTCAAATGAAAATTTCACAATCACGAGTGCAACATAACCAACAATATTTAAAATTAATTATACCTGACCGTATGCAAGAACTGTGGCATTATATCCATGGAAGAGTGCATCAACAAGCGGCGCTACACAATCATCATATATTGCAGAGGAAGGTGATCCCGTGCTACCATATACATAATCAAACGTGAAAGAATGCGATCCTATTTGCACCTACCGTACGCACCAACGTCAATTTCATAGGTTTTACGGTAGAAGAAAGCATAAACTTCAAAATTGCCAAGTAAACCACATCGCAGAACATCAAAATCAAAATTAAGAAATAACATAGCACCTGAGGTTCACCGGGAACAACGGAAATACAATCTGTGCAGCCAAGAAGAAGCTCCGACGTAATCAGGGGACGAATATTCACCGCCACTCGCACGCATTCTGCATTCTCCATCTCTGTCTAACTCGAGCCGTCTTGGAAACCCTAGAAATCTATTTGCATGCAAAAATCAATGAATGTGAATAACACGAAGCGTCGAAACTGGCGGAACTCTGAAGCGATCATACGGAAAGAGATTTCGTGTGTGAGCTTATCCTGTGAGGAACAGTGTGAGAGAAGAGAAGGGAGAATCAACAACGGAAAAGGGTGTTTCTGCGCCGTTGGAGAAGGAACAGAAGGGAACGAAACGAAGGGGTTTACGTTTCGTTTGCATATTTTGAACCAGAACGTGTTGGGTTTGTATTAAACTGAAATGGAGAAAAAGGCGCTAGGTGCGAGTTCAAATACGGAAATGCGATCACGTGCGTATCACGTGAACGGGAATCTAACGGTATAGTGGTCTCTTCCGGCTGAGTGAAATTTGTGATGACGGAGAGAAAGCCCACCAAAATTCGGTAAATATGGATTGGCTTTTATCCACTGCCAACTAGATTACGCATATATATATATATATATAAGACAACTAGATATATTTTTACTTCTTTTTTGTTATCTGGTTATAGTCATTTAACTCATTTTAGTTCAAATTTATTCAAATAAAGAATAAGATAGTCTTTTGTTTGGTATATTTTTTGCTTTTCTTCTTTATAAGAAAAGAATTTGAGTCAAACACACTTTATATTAAATTTCATAAAAAAAATAAGTAGTTTATTTTCTAAGAAAAAAAATATGAAAATAAGGAAACTTTAGAAAAATAATTGGATATGAGTTGTCAGGGAGTTTCTGCATAACTTTCTTTATTTACATTGACCTTCCTTTGAATCAGGAATGGAACTAGACAAAATTCTCGAGAGGGCAAAATTTTAACATGTAATAAAAAAAATAATGATTAAATTTTATTATTATTAATTATTTAAATTTTTATTTTTACGCAAAGAAAACACATATAAACAATAAAATACTTATTTTTATTGATCTCAAGTCTTTTGATAAAAGATTTTTATGATTTATAAACATTAAATATAAAAATAAAAATATTAACAAACTCAAATTGGAGGGAATGAACTTTATTTTTCCAACGTAAATAATAAGAGGTTTGATTTTTCTCGAGAGCAGTTGCGCCAGTGAAGCTTAACTCATTTTTTATTTTTTTTCATCAACATAATTTACGCACAATTACAAAATATTCTAAAATTAATAATTAAAAATTAATTTATATTTATAAAATGTAATTTTCATTGATTAAATATTATTTTAATACAGATAGAAATTCAATTTATAGTTCTCTTTCTTTGTTATATAATGATGAAATATTTACACAATAATTTTTTTAGCTGGACTAGCTTTCTAATATTTTATATTTTTAAATTGTTATTAGTATTACATGTATGCTATTATCTTCAAATTTAAATTAAATCATATTTTTAATTGTAAATTCTAAAAAATTCTATTGTCTTTATTCTGTATATATTTATATTTTTAAAATTATGTTCTATTTATTATACATCAAATTATTTAATATACATCAAATGAATGTTCTCATTGACACTTATTGTTCTCTACTTTTTATGCCCAAAGCATATTATCCGTGCAAGACAAAATCTAACATGATATGCATTTGGTAAAGACATGAAATAAAATTAAAATTGAAGTTTTGAAATATCTGCATAATAGACATTTGATTGGATGGATTCGTGTAGGAGAATAAGCGTGTATATATGATTTATTTTCTTATTTTGGTTGGCTTAATTTTAGACACAAACCTTAGTAGGGAAGTATTGATTTGTTAAGCCTTGATTTTAGGCATAACTCTTAGTTAAAAAATATTGATTTATTATATTCAAATATTTTATGGATAGTTTTGGTAAGTTTTGGAGCTTTTTATATTTTTAGGAATTTTTATGTATTTCTCTATGTATATATATATTTGAAACCATGGGAACGAAACCATGGAAACAAAATAAACATGGGATATTGAACTTTTTAAATGGTATCAAAGTTGCACATCTTTATGAAGATTGATGGTGATTAAAAGAAAGGAGACAAGAAAATATTGACCCATATGCATTTACTTTAAACAACAATTCGGGTAACATAATTACCCAAGTTCAATTGAAAGGTGAAAATTATGATGAATGGACACATGCTATGTGTATTGCATTGCAAGCTAAGAAGAAATATGGTTTCGTTGATGGATCCATTAAATAACCAAGTGACGGTTCACTTGAACTTGAAGATTGGTAGACTATTGTAATGACCCGTCATGACCGTCACACTATGCAACACACAACTAACTACGCATATATATGTATACTGAAACAGTAATATAATATACGCACATCTACATCTCATAAATATGTACAACTATGTTGCTTGTCCAACAACTATATACAAACATATATATAGAAGTATCTACCAATAACCGGTAGTCTACAAAATAAAATCTAACTCTAGGCACCTCCTGTGGCCTCTAGCGGCTATCTCCCAGCCTATCTCTGCCCTGCTCCTATACATCGTATGATCATCATAGTTCAAACCACATGGAAACATACAAGGGTAAGCTAGTGAAAATAAACAATTCATAATAATAGTCACCATATTCAACACAACAACAAGCAACACAGATATTACATATCTCTTAACAACACATATATTTAAAAGAAACTTACAACACTTGTAGTCTAACAACGCTATCATCATTTTCATACTTGTTCAATATACAACGCACAACACATATATAGGAAAACAACTTACAACACTAACAACTTAACATCACTATCATCATCAAAAAGTTCAACACACTACACATGCAACTTAGCATCCCTGGCATCATTTTTATCAACTTGTTCAACATACAAAACATAATACTTAAATAACATATGTATATAAAAGTAACCTGCAACACAACATCACTATCAACAATAACAACTTATTCCCCATGCAACATACAACACGGACAACATACATCTCAGTAGCACCTTCATAACACGTTAACACATATAACTCATATCATTACAATATCAACTCATCAACACATACAACTTATATCATCAAAATATCAACTCATCAACACTTATACGTCATCACACATTTTAACTCAGAGATCTCCTACAACACAAGGTGAGCAGCTTAAGTGGTTAGATCCTATCGAACCAACAACACATAACTTTTTTGGGCTTGCTAGGTAAACAATAAATTTGGATAAAAACTCACAATACGATAACAGTTTCACAGACTTTGCCATTTAAACAAGGAAGTATAATACTATGTTAGGATAAAACAATTAGGTCTAGGCCTACCACGACATTAACTAGCTTAACTAACCCACCTATGAGATTAGCCTACTGACTATCCTTCAAATACTACAACCCTCTAATACTCGGTTAGGAACTAAGTTTCTGATTTCGTACTTTACCTGAATTGGCCGCTTGTAATCGATATAGCTCGACCTGACCCCTATACCGTGGTCGCTTCATATATGTGTGCCTCGACCTTGCCCACACACAGGACCAACTAAGTCCTAAAGGAGATCAACACATCATCCATTCCAAGGGACAACTTCCCAATGAGGGTTTTTTAACAAATTGGGCTCTCAGAGCACCACAACACCCTCAATCCACACAATGTGATGAGAAACTTTGAAAACATCTCCCCTAGTCCTAGTGATCAACAACTCATCATCACAACACAACAACACAGTTATCATTTCATCAGCTCAACTATCAACTCATTTCAACTTTAAACAACAAAGTCAACTCAACAGCTTAAAAGCTCAACTCACAATTTATAATTCAACCATTGTAAAGTAATATCTTTTCAACACATAGTACAACATACAACTTTATAACAACATACAACTCTCATCTAACGACTTAACAACACAGTCTACTAATAACTTTTGTATAAATCTCACCACTACAGCGCTCAAATAAGCGTTCTAGAGTTGAGTTTCTGCCAACTCAGTTTTGTTCCCACAGCTATAGCCATGAACCACAGCTACTGTAGTGGATCTCTACCATTCTCTCTTTTCCATGGTTGTGGCCATGAACCATGGCTACAGCAGTGGATTTTTGCCATGGCTCAAGCGGTGGGTGCATAATTTTCTGCATTTTTATGGCTTCCACCTTTGATCTTCACCTTCCCTTCACCAATCTTCCCTCTAAACATGATCTATACCCATGATTACTACTACAGTCATTCAAGCAACCCAAAAACCATACAAATTTCAACATGCATGCATTAAACTTCATGAATCACTCATTTTTCCCCAATTCATCCAAGAACACCACATCCCAAACAACATGCAACCTACCAAACTCAACTACTTAGCCCCAAATCACATCTCAATTGATAATTCAACTACATACAACCCAAAATACAACAATGATTCGAGTTCTAGCTTCCCTTACCTCGAAACAGAGTGAATGATGAACTCCGAGCTACTCCAAGGTTGAAGAAAAAGAAGAAGAAGAAGGAGATGGAATGAGAATCTAACTCCAGGTTTCAAAACTCCCTAGCACACCAATTGCTCAACAACTTTGAGGATCAACAAGAAAATGAAAGAGGTTTGGGAGAAGGAAATGGGAAAAAAAGAAAGAATAAGAAAGAAAAGGAAAAATAAGAGAGGGGGGGGGGTGAAAGTTACGGGTCTCACAACTATCAATTCATTGTTTGTCTCATGGGTGTTTATTAACACCATTGAGCCTATACTTCGTTCAACCATATCCTATATGGATAACATGTAGGATCTCTAAGAAGATATCAAACAACACGTTTCCATTGGGTCCCTATTTTACACATTCTTTTATTTCATTGGTTTTTTTGGAAGAAAATTATTTTAATGTTTTTAAAAACAAATTCACTATTTTTTTTCTACAAATATTGATAAAAGAAAATTACGGACCACAAGTTTTTTTTATGATGAATTGCTTTTATATAACAAGAATGCATGGCTCTTTTTAATCATACGGACCTATTTATAATGATATTTTTTTTTTCTATAGACATAATCAACGTAATATTTCAGAATTAATAATTAAAATTAGTATTTATATAAATAGATAATAATAATTTATATGGATGAATTGGTTAACTTGTTAATATATTTACATGTCATTTGAATATAGAGATGACAAATAAACTCGTACTCGTGGGTAATATTCAAACCCGTCCCGATTTAACGGAAAATATCTGGATTGACCGGGTACGGATACAGGTAAAACCTGATATATTAAACTGGATACGAGTACGAATACA